TATAGGATATATTTACAGATAACAGAATACCTAATAATCACCATTTAACCCAGTGGTAAAGAGGAAACAGTTCATGAGGTGTGAGGATGTAGCTGTCTCACCTGTCTCGGAGAGGTCCCTGAGAGAAGAGCTGAGCGCAGTGCGTTTGAGGCCCTCACCCATTGAACAGTTGTCATCAAAACTGGTTCGTCCTAAAGAGCCATTAACAACTTCGCTCTTCAGGCCTACACCACCCACCACACCTCCAGTCAGCAGGCTCGGGCGCATTACACCTTTCTGTTTCTCCAACTCAGCTGTTAAAGACACAGGATGTATCAAAGAATGAATTAAAATATGTGTAAACCAAACCCACCCCACACATTTATCGCAGTGAAACCAAAGTGCTAATAAAAAATAAATGAATTGATTTCCTCTAATCAATCTATATACTCAAATTTCCCTGCAAACATGATATAACCTCGACAACTACAGCTTTTGTTTTGATTAACTATATATTTGTGATAAGCAAAACATACGGGCAAAAAACCTTCCAAAAAATCTTAATTTTTACGATATTACACTATTTTCTGATTTGTGTTATAATGTTGTTTCTTCATCCAACACATACACGGAACTGTGTTTTGTTTATTTCACACATGTTTAACAAATAAATCCTGCATATTTGATCGATCCTGTATATTTAGAGTTCTTCAAGCAGTACTCTGTTCCACCTTGTGATGTCATGTTGTCATACAGGAAGTGTTTATAAACCCCATACAGCATCACTCGACTTTTAGCCCTGGAATTGCCAATCTCTACTGAACAAGAAGTAAAAGATAGCTGTTAACTTGAAAACCTCTGCTTCGATGTGGTAACAATATATCACATGCTCACAACAGTAAATTTTTGCATAATAAAGGTCCTGTAAACACTGACTTCAATAAATTAAAAGTGTCATCTGCACTTCAACCACTAGAGGGAGCCGACAGCCCACCCTGCCCATGCTTACATTCCACTCGGTATTTCTCCATCTCCTGCACTTCAGCGATGCTCTCCCTGAGGTCACTCACAAAGCGAGTGCGATCTTGCTGACTGGGAGCCATAAAGACAATGAGAACCTTTCTTTCTCCACCCAGGACAGCTGAGGTCAGGCGAATACCGTGAGGGTAATCTGATTAAATAAGGGAAAAAGGGAAATAAAATGTGTCTAACATTGCATTATGTAAATCCTACATGACTTTTTACAAGGCTTACATGAATTTTGGAACATGTGCACTTGCATCTCAACCAAGGGGAAAGATTGTCTGAAACTATAAGTGACTGAGGTTTTCTTCTTCTGGAATATTTTGGTCACCTGTAAAAAAAAACAAAAAAACATGGCTAGCTAGGTTTCAGACTTCGCAACATTGTGTTAAAGAGGGGGGCTGGAAAATTACTACTGTTACAAGTAATATGTAGATTTTTTCTTATCATTGGAATGGAGATCAGTTTTATTTCTTGGTTTAGTTACAATTTGGATGTAGTTGGTGGGAATTTATCACCTTATGGGGACTAAAATCTGTATACACACACCATGGGGACCTGTCTCCCTTATAGAGACAAAAATTATTTAATATCAGATACAAGATCATTTAATGTTAAGGTATGGGTTGAAATAGATTAAGGTTGGGATTTAGGTTAATTAGTAGTTTTAGTTATGGTTAAGGTTAGGATGGAAATTAATGTAAGTCAATGGAATGTCCTCAAAAAACATGGAAACCCAACATCTGTGTCAATGTGTGAGCGTGAACACAGCCATAGCATGCCACAACTCACCACTAGGAGGTCATTGAACAGAAAGACCTCTCGCTGGTGCACCCCTGTCCTCTGAGGTCGGTTCGGATCAGGCACCTCATAGAGTTGGCAGCAGCACACGAGACGACGATGTGGAAGAGACAGTACCTATGCGCATAGGAAAGACTTTGAATTATGGTACTAAACATGACAGTAATAACTGTCCCACAACACTAACTGCCAGTGGTGGAAAGAACTTGAATCACTGATTTATTATGGATTTAATTAATTGTTAACACTTGTTAGACCAATCAGCAACATGTACATTGCTGTTGCAGCCCACTACTACTACTGCAGTTGCTGCCACCAATAGGTTTGGCTCATATGACAATATTTTGGCCTCTAGTTTTTAAACTGAGCCAAAGGTTAGACCTATTTTAAAGTAGCATGCACTCTTTGACTGTCAAAATGTGCTATTTTGTCCTGATTGTTTGGTATTATGACTGCAGTTACTGGTTCTATGCACATAAAAATAACAAATGAGCTAAGATGAAATGATCAGTTTTCTATTGACACAAAGCGGTGGCATTATTCAATCACAAATGGTGTAATTGTTGTCATTTGAAAGAGCTTAATTTATCCAAAACATTAATAATTTGTGCAGCCATTCCTTAAACAATGGTAAGGTTCTACATTAGTTGGTATTAGTTTTCATAATCAGGAAATTGCCCAGGGTAATATAGCCTGTCCATCTGAAATTATGACATTGAATTATAGAGAAAACAGTGCTTTAAAACTGCTGAACTGCCAGAGTTATTGCCATCAAGATAGAAATATACTTTTACAAATGTTGTTACTGTCTACCAATGGCATTTGCAAAGTACTGAGGGAGCTACAATGCGCACTGGCTTTTTTCCCACTATGACTCTTTCCACAGCTTGCACTTGGGACACATGGTCGTCATTTGTCCGGAGTTCCCATTTCTGTATTCGCTGGTAGATTCCAACAAGCAAGTCTCTCGGGATATCCTGACCATTGTCTACACCTTGGGAAAAAAACATTGAAACAGATGAACTTTCTAAAGAAAAGGACAGTTATTAAGACATATATAGGCAGTGTTAATTAATCACCTCTGAGATTCTTGATGAAGTCATCTAGTTTCATCTTTCTCTCAGCTTTTACATTGGGACTGTACATATCTGTGTTGAGGAGGATTATGGCAAAGGCCAAGATGAAGATGGTGTCAGGGTTTTGAAACTGCCGGACTAGGGTTGGATTGCACACACAGTACCTCTGACTGCAAGACAAAAAGCACAACATATTTTAAGTTTGAAGAAGAAAACTTTGCTGAGTTTCAGATGACACCACAACGTTCTATTATAAGTTTTTTTTTTTTTTTACAGAATAGTTACTAAGGGCAGCAAAGTGTGATTTTGTGATTCCAAATATAGTCTAGGTTGTTTTTAGACTGAGGTGAAGAATTTTAGACTATGTTTCATTTAGTGATTTGTCTGTTGATGATATTACAAATAAAGTACTTGGAAGGATGTCTATTAGAGATGGGCATTCGATGAAATTTTCTTAATCGATCGTCGGAAGAATTAACGATCGATTATCGATTAATCATTAACGTTTTTATATTAAAATTATCATCATTATTATTACTATCTGCACTACTAATCTGCATAAATAAATTCAACTTTACGACATATAAACCGTAACGACTCTAGACATCAATCCGTTTGACATTATAACGTGTTTAATTCATTTTTGTGCAACTCTCACAGAAACGAAACTTAAAACCGCATCGCTAATTTGCATAAACTCAGCGAAGATAAAAATACAGCTCTTGTGTCGCTGATGCGGTCAACTTCTGTCGGATTAAAGACATGACTCAGTGGAATACAGGTTAGTGTGACCATATTTGCGTTTGTCAAAACCAGGAAACCGTACGGGGGGTGGAAGGTGGGGAGTCGTCATCGACATTGCGCGACTCTCACCTGGTAAAGCTTTTTCATACTGGACACTGAAACATATGTGCTGCTTTGTAAACTGTGCACATGGACTCACACTTGTCCCGAACGCAACAGAAAGCGTGGAATTTCTTGTACAAATCATCGTTAAATACACATTTGTGCTTCGGTACGTTGCAGGCTGACCGACTGTTTGTGTTTGTTCGCTCCTTCTGAGTGCAGAGAGCTACATGTACGGACCCCTGTTTGGTCACGCTACGCACAGCAACCTACATTCGGTTTGTCGATTAAAATTAACGTAATCGATGAAATTCTTAATGATCAATTATCGATTAATCGATTAATCATGCCCATCCCTAATGTCTATATGTTGTTGTAATGTAATGCAAACCAGAAATGCAATAGGCTTAGTGTTGAATTGAGAATGGGCAAGTAGTACTATTTACACTACTGTTTTTTGTGGTTAGATAAATGTAGCAGGATATTGGACAATGACAAATCTATAAACATTTCCTGAAATCAAAGTTAGTTAAGAAAATGCTACATTATAATTGCTATAAGAATACAGACACAACCCCATCCTCTCCATTTAATAGAGAGACATTACTATATTCAAGAATATGAAAACATCTAATAAAAATACCCTTAGACTCACCTAAATGCTTCTATGAGTCTCTCCACTTTCTGGGCTTCTCCTTGAACTTTGATCTGAGCCTGAAATTTCCTCAAAGCATCATCAAGGTCCATCCCTGAGAAATCCATCTCATCCACCACACAGCTGTAACACAGAGGGCACATTCACCTTACAGTATCCCCCTGAGACCTGGCAACATTCAGAGCATATGGACCATAAGTCATGCCATTACAAATAATTTATAGTATGTGGGAGTAAAGGACAAGGTGGCCAAGGCTGTGGTAAGGTTGCCTCTGTTTGTACTAGTATACACACAGTTTAAACTATGGGAGTTTTGCACTCTGTATCTCACAATGTGAAAATTGTGTGTACTCACTCTAAAACATCTTTGTTGAACTGTTTTTGTCGATTTCCAAGAAACTCTCCAATCATTTGTCGGCTCAGGCCTTTCCGCTCCAGGATGAAGCGAGCAATGCCAACTGGAGTGTCTGATACAAACCCCCTTTCTATGAGGTACTGGATCCCTTTCTCTGGCTTCCTGTAGAAATAGTTTGTTACAAATATATTGTGTATGATTGCATAATTTAGTGCTAATTTTCATAGTCTTACTTGTTGAATAGATTAAGACCAATGCGATACTGCCGTCTCTGCACTACATCACTGTTGAATGGCGGAGAGTCCCAGCTATGGCGGCTTTCCCTCTGATAGGTCTGTTTTCCCAGAGGTGGGAGGGGCTCCCGGAGGCTGTCCTGGGATGATGAGCCAGAACTGCAGTTGACTGTCTCATTGGAGTTTGTGGTGGAGTTCAGGGAGTCATTGTCTCCATCTGAGCAACAGGGCTGTTCCAAACCACCAGGGGGCAGCACTGTGGAGGATGAGGAGGACAGCGGTGTGGTGGGGGGCTGCTGAGGAGAGGAAGAGGAGGAGGGAGTGTCGGGGTACTGGTGGTGGTGGATGGGGTGGTGGTGATGATGATGGGCCACTACCTGGTGAGGGATGTGTGTGGGGATAGGACGGCCTGTGGGCCTTGTCTGGCCCTGTGCAGCGGCTGTAGACGAGGGTCGCGTCCCGGTGCCTGGGGAGTGTTTGAGGGTTCCCTGAGGGGAGCCTGAGACCCCAGACTCCTGTTCATACACCAGCTGTCTGCTGAGAGAGCCACGGTCGGAGCGGTCGCTCATGTCCACGGAGCTGTCACTGGGCGGTTCGATGGTGAGCAGAGGCAGATGAGCTCCTCTCAGTCTATAGTCCCGACACTCTGTGCAGGGGGTGCTGCGGCGGCTGTTACTGCTCCCTCCCCCTTCTGTGTCCCTGCTGTCCTCCCTGCCCCCCACACCTGTCCCGGGGCCCCAGTACTCTGTGTCTGTACTGCTGGGGGCTCGGTCCAGGGACAGAGGGGAGGAGGGCATTCCATCATCCATGTAGAGTGTGACATCACTGTAGGAGGTGGCAGTGCTGTCTCCGTGCATGCTCAGTCCTCCCCCTGGACCCCTGGGTCTGTCCCCCAGCCCCCTCTGAGAGGAAGGGTTACTGCTGCTACTCCACACACACTCCCCAAAGTCTTCACTCAGTCCACCGCCTTCTCGGCTCCCCTCCTGCGAATCATTACGACTGGTGCGGCAGGTGAGGGCATCATCAATGGAATCAGCCAGTGACTTCACCTGGACAAAACACAATATTCAGGAGTTGGAGTCACTGACTATGTGTGATTAAACACAAACACTATTTATCTATGCATTTACTGTGTGTGATCAAAACGTGTTGATGAAAACAGCTATGGAAAGTATAGCTGACAGATCTAGTTTCATAGGTTCTGTACCTGCTTGGAGAAGGAGTCCTCCAGGTGTGTGTAGTCTCCGGGGCGGTCTGCGTCTGGGGAGTGAGGGGGGCCGATAGCCACACTGTGGGTGAAGCTTGTCTGTGTTTGGGCTTGTTGCTGTGGCTGGCGCTCGTCAAAGGAATACTGCAGTCTCATGTTGGACAGGATAATGCGGCGGGTCATGCGGCTCTCGGAGGCAGAGCTTCGGAGGCGTTCAAAGTTCTTGTTCATGCGATACTGCCTGAAGGCCGTCTGAATGGTACGTGCTGCTCTGCGACTTACAAATGATCCTCCATACTTTCTCTCCAACATTTCCACCTATAACCATGAACCCCATGTTCAGAAAACTGAAATATGATAAATACATGTTTTCATTATGTACCTTTTTATCTTGCAGATCTGTTGATAGCTCATAACTGTCTGAGAGCGCCTTGCATCTCTTGTTCTCCTCCTCCTCCTGCTTGCGGAGGGCCAAACTGGCTGGTTGGTGGCGAGTCCGCAGTGCCCAGGCCAAGCTGGCGGAATTGGCGGTGGGCACACATGTGGGCCCCCTGGAGACCGGAGCAGAGCTGTCAGTGAAGCGCTCAGAGCTGCGCAGGTACGGAGAGGGGCTGAACGAGCTGTCTTTGTGAGCACTGGAGTCTGGACACTGGGAGTCTCCCTCCACACTGTAGAGAGAAACAGGCTGTTAGAGCAGTGTACAGAGCAGCTGTGAACTGTAGAAAAGATAAAACTTACATGTACAGTTTCGAGTGGCGAGGAATTAGCCATTTCTTTGAGGAGCCCATGATTACAGTATTTTATGAAATAATTGTGTCTTAAACTAGAGTACAATCATTTATGAGGAACAAACTTTACTTCACGATCTTTGACTTTGCTGACCCCATAAGAAGGAGCTGATACACCACTATTTAATCCAGAGGTTGTCCTACTTACATGTATCATGTCACAGCATCTTGTTAAAACACTTTTACTGTTTTTTTTTTTTTCAGTTTGTCACACACAGCTACTGCAGTAATTTGAAGAGTTATTTGGTTGAAATTCACTTCGCAACAAACCAGCAACACAGCTCTGACAGGAAAGACCTGGTCGTTATGGTAACAGCAGGTGTAAAAAGCACCTGTAGCCTTGAGAGCACCACAAAACACAGCAATTATCACATTCTGTCACATTCACTGTCACTTACGCTTTTACTTTAGAATGCAAACGGATAAAATGGAAAATATAACAAATGATAACAATCTTTGGTATAAAAGTCCCAAACCTCTCCAGTTTTAAATAGAATCCAAAAATAATCCCCTTCAAAGTCTGTGTGGTTATGAGAAAACGAAAGTCACAAACTCCAGCCTACATTTCCTCCGTGTTTAAGCCACGCCCCTTTTGTTAATGGTGCCCAGCTGACCACTTCATAAACAGGCATGTGGAAATAACATTGTGTTGAAGTCAACTTACAATGATAAAGCCTGTTGAATTACACACACTTGTATTCTATGCCTCAATGAGTCTCAAGATAACTAAACATTACAAAAGTTTATTGGTAATGCTAGATTTTTTTTTTTTCATTTTGCAGAATAGTATTTGTACAATGCAGTTTGTTGACAGGATATCCTGAGACTGATTTTTTTCTCCACTTTGGACAGGTCCATTATTCTGCACAAGAGTCACATGGACCACTTTCATATGAGGCACCACAGGAATACAGGAAAGCAAAAAAAACTTTTACATCCAATACCCAAAGTTGTTGTTGTCGTTTTTTTCCATAAACCTTTCATTTACACTTTTAACAAAATTTTAAGTTCTTAGAAGCATACTAAAAATAATTATGCAAATTCAGAATATTTTTTCAGAATTCGAAACACTAGTTTGTTTACTTTCCACACAGTATTTCAGACTCTTGCAGACCAATAACTGTGTAAATCTCAAAAAAGAAGTACATTACAAACAAAAATATACAATCACATAATCTTTGACAAGATAGTAAACAGTATAAAATGGGGTCAAGAAGACTCCTAGGAACCCTAAGCTTGCATGTGTGTTAACCAAACCAACGGGCCATCGTGAAGCTCATAGAGGTTTTATTTTTTACTTTGCAGAATCATTTATCATTCCTCCTCCTCGGCTCCTTAAATAGAGGAGCAGAGTAGAGGGAGGGGGTTGCTTGGTGACGGTTGCTGTTGGATGCTCGTGGGCGTGAGGCGGTTGTTAGGATGAGTAGTTGCTATGACGATGTATTGACTGTGATCATCATCATAGTGGTGGGTGTTGAATATGCTCCACAGGTTGTGAATGGCAATTTGCACATTACTTATCTTGTTATAAAAATATTTCAAAGAACCTGAAAATACATTATATAAAGCTAAATAAAAAAACTAAATCACAATTCATCCAAACAATGAAGTAAGTTCTGAGGGCCTAAGAAACAATTATGATTTTTAGTACAATTTGAGGATACTTATTAGTGTCTTGAACAGAGATTTATAAACATGAACTTCTTTAGTGAGTGCTTCTGTAATTGGATTAAATTTGTGATAAATACTGAAATACTGGAATAGGCATATGAACTGACCAAACTAATACAAGAATTACATATATTTCTGAACATGCTTGTAATCTAAACAGCAAGTTTAACAGTTTTTCATACAAAAATAGTTCATCTTTTCAGAATCTGTATCAGAATAAATGTTATTTAAATTTTATTATTTATTAAATAAATGTTATGTATGATTTTTGACATATTTTGTGATATTTTTAAATAAAAAATCTGAAGAGAAATGAACTGCTGTTTCAAGGAGTGGAACACAGTGACTAGTCTATGCAGTGGCTCCAGGTAAACAGCAGTGGACTCAACATGACTGCAACTTCCTGCTACTTAAATTACAGGAACAGATGGTATTTTGATTTGAACTGAGCCCCATAAAAACAACTGTAAACCATGCAACCCAACAGGTCTCCTTTTATTTTTAGCCAACATTAAGCACCTAGCTTTTATGGGAATGGTTCATCTTTTTCTAATGTTGTGATTGACGCAATTCAGGATTGGCATGTGATGCTGTCTCCTGCCACGTTGATTATTATGCAAAATTCACTTTTTGGAGCTTTCTACCATGTCATAATGTTATTTCCTCATCAAAAACATGCATGAAGATGTTTTAGATGTGATCTATACATGTTTGAGTAATCTAGAGATCTCACTTGGGCCTTATTCATTGGACAGAGCATTGGACAGAGTCATACAGGCGGTATGACTCTGCCCAATGCTCAGCCCACAAGTCCACATCACCCATACTCCCACACGGCCATTTTCATAAATATACAGAAACATGATACAAAACAATACACTACAACTTCACAAATCATATTTGATGCCATTAATACCTCATTGAAATGTAATACCCACTCTTTAATAAAATCTAAGTAAATTGAAATACAAACTGAAATATCCCAATACATCTCTTGGCAAGTTTTATGGATATACAACAAAATAAGGTTATAGCAGGACACACACCAACCAGGCGTGAATTAATGACCATGCTGAGGTGAAGTAAAAAATCTGGCACCTGCTAGTGGGTGGAATATATTAGGAAGTGAACATTTTGTCCTCTAAGTTCAAAAGCAGGGAAAAAGAAACCATGGTTGGATGATTTTCAAAACACTGTTCTTGCAATGGTCAGTATAAATTGTTCAGAGAAGGCACATTGGTCAACTATAGATACTGGGAGATGTATGTGAGTGTGATGCTATTTTTCTTGATTACTTTCTTGATTACTTCTGATAATTCTAGTTGTAATAAGGTTAGGGTATATTGGAAAGCTGGTCATTATACAGAAGGTAATAACCCTGAAATCTTAATTGCAAATTAATATTGCAGAGTTAAAATTACTGTTGTGGATGATTTTTCAATCTAATGCTAAAGGTAGATTTACGTTATTTTACTGCTTGGTCTGAGAGATATGGCAACAAAATTTTTTTTCAGAATTCTTGTCCTTATATTCATCATTCACACATTTTGATACAATTGTATTTATTTTGTATCAAAAACAAAATTGTGTCACTTAACAAAATTGATTGAAGTCTGCTCCAAGCTATGCATAAATTATTAACAGAGGATTTCATCCACGCACACTCAAAGTTGATCATTCACCATCTGAAATGATTGATTTCAATTTAATAAAACGTTAAGCCTTAAGGAGGTCAAAATGTTGATACCTGATTACTTGAACTCTACCAATAACTACACATACTGTACATTTTAAACATGTCAACCTGTGACATAACATGCATGCTTCCTACATCTTTCACTTTTTGCCTGAGGCTATTGTCGACTGTGGACTGAGAGAGAGAAAGTGAGAGTGATATATGAGTTAAAGTTAGCTGTATAAAATATTTGGCCATTTCACAGCTGGTATCCATAGCTCATTATGTAAGATAGACTTCATCTGACAGAATTCCTTCATCAGTGCCAAGGTAGAGCAGCTCGTAAAGACCAGCCCACTACCTCAAAAAAACAACGACATTTAATTAGCACTTTAACAGATGGTAAGATTGTAATAAACAGCTAAGTGTGAGCAGAATGGAGGAGATATTGACAAGATGGAGGTATGAATGTGCGCTGTAAAGTGTGGAGAGGCGTCCCCCAGTTTGCCCTCATTTAATATTGATGTCCTGGAGTGTGCAGGAACAGTAGTGGGTCTGAAACAGCAGGGGGCACCGAGGCCCAACCCGCAGTAATTATGTTGACCTCATGAATTGTCTCTTGAATCGTTTACTCATGAGCCTTGTCTGACAGTAACAGATTATTAAGAAGTACTGTACATGATATTTACCCTCTTTAAAATGTGAATAACAAAATTAATTCATTTAAAACTTTTAAAGTGTGCCAATTATACATTACAATGAATTAGTTTCACAACTTTAAGAGGCCAGAATAAATTTTGCTGTTGCAGTAATACTAACAAACATGATCATGCCAGCAGCACACTTCTCAGAGGGCAAAACATTTTATTTAGATGTAAAGAATGCACAGTGGTCTCATTTCTCATATGTACTGTGACACATTTTGCTCAACTACATAACAAAACAGTACAGCTACTTAAAGTAGTTACCAAGCCTTAATTAATACCCTAACCCCCTTAAGTAGTTGCATGTCATTTAAAACTTAAAGGTCAGTATATAAACAACAACATGGCAGTAGCGGTTTCATTCTTCAATAATCAAAGCAATACAAGCAGAAATGATCAAGAGCAGTTCCTGCTTTCTATTCCTGATAAAGAAGAATCAAGCACTACATGTACATCTGTTCAAGAGGAGGTTGACCAAACTTCAACAAATAGAATCAAATAAACATGCACATTATAACAAAGTTAGAAATTCCAAAAGTCTTCTTAAAAGCTGCACTGCCTAACCTATAATTGGAGGGTAAAAACATCCCAAATTAAACTAAGAACATTTAAGGCCATACTGGGACATTACAGTCAAAGCAATAACATCCCCATGGGAACAAGTAAGTGGCAAATTCTCCATAATTTCAAAACACCTTTCAAATTCACCTCTGTTCATCTAAGAGTCAAATCTATAAACACAGAAGAAAATTAAACATTACAAATATCTCTAAGCATCAAATGTAGTCAAATATCCTTAGGCGTCCCTGCTACAATCAGCGAAAAATATGATTAATTTGCACTTTGATTGCGATCAGCAATTATGCACCAAGAAAAAGATTAGATTCTGTTACAAGTGCACGAACAAAGCTTTCTCTCAATGTTGCAGTCATTCAAAACACACAATAACATCATTCATAGTTGAGCATTTTCCAACGCCAACTCGTGGCCATTTCGCTGTCCAAAGAGGTGACACATTGCTGACTATACTCCCTCTGACCCTGCAGTTTTTCATGTCACAAATGAAAAGATAAAAGAACCTGTTTTGAAGATGAAAATGTTGCTGTGTTTTCTAAGCTCCAACTAATCTGATCTGCACCACCGAGGCACAGGAATCAAGATGAAGATATGGCTTATATATACAGTAGACAAACAACTGCACTTTCCGCTTCCAATAAAGCCCTAACACTATTACACCTCGGGCCTATTTGTCATCTTTTGTCGGCCCGCACATAATAGAGAAGGTGCTGCGCTTCCGATTGCAGTGTTGCTATTGCCACAGCCCTACCTGACATTTAAAGGTGCACTATGTAACCTTTTCTGGCAGAAGGTTCACCATCATGGAGATGATACTGCGTTGCCTGGAATGTTTCACAATATGGTATTTAATATAAAAATTTATCTAACATCAATTTTTTTTAATTAAAGGTGAACTCCAATAGAAAAGT